CATAGAAGATCCAAGCGTGAGTAGAAAGAACCACGGGGGATTTGATTTTTAAAGAGGATAGGATAAAACTAAATAGTGGCAACTCTTCGCCGGATCTATGTTAAAAACGTTTTCTTGAAAATATGCGTCTGATGCCTAGTGTCTCTTTGTAGGCTATTTTTCCTTTTCTAAATTACATAGGATGTTTGTTAATTTATTAGGTTAATAAGTGAGGTATTAAATTAAAAGTGTCTGAAGAGGAATCTCTTCGTATTAAGTGTCCGAAGGCAAGCGTCTCTTTGTATTTTTAGATCTTTTTTATATAAATCAATTAGGGCATTTATTTGGTTAACTAAAGGGGTAATTTAGTAATTTAACTTTGGAGTTCCCACTTTTAATATAGTATAAATAGATATAGATATATATTAGACTTAAATTTCTAACCAAGAAAATAATTGCAAAATTGATATTACTACTTAAAAAAGTAACCCCTTCTATGGCCATGATGAGGACCCCACCACCCACCCTCCATTGGGTGAGTTTACAATTATATTAGTCCAAAGTTCCAATTAGTCTCATAATTCCATGGGCTGATTGTCCGAACTAATTGTCGTATTGCTGTTTAAGATTGTCGTAGTTATTCATTTTTTGGGGCACATATTAAAAAATTGTGATCCTCTTGAGTTTAATAGTTTAGAAAGTGGGCAAGCTGACCTTTAATTTTCTCCAAAAGATAATTAAGACACGTGTGCTTAGTATTTAGGAGAAGAAGATAAACAATAAATGTACTATTCTTAGTATAACCAATCTCTAAACTTCAGATGCACAAAATAAGAAACGAGGTTCGTCCAAAAACAAGTACTGAATACTCGCTAAAAGAGTATGAATAGATTAAAGGTTGATTAGTGGTAAAGAAAATGTTAAATAAGTATTAATTAGGTTAAGCTTTTAGGTCGTGCAAAGGTCGACGTATATGGACAACCATGGGACGTGGAGGATGACGATAAGAGGGTGGTGATTAAGATTAAGATGTTGATGATTATTGATTAGTGACGAGTTTTGATATTGACCAGCTATCCACGGATGTCCCTAGAACAGCTTATAGTATTTTCACTAATATATTAACAATAATAATATTAATAATATATTAACAATAATTCTCAGCGTGAACACATTCAGCATGTGTAAGTTTGCTTACATTATTCTCGGTCCCAAGTCCGGATAAAGGAGGAGTGTTGCGATAGGCTGAAAACCTGTGTAGAATTTATCAAGTCCCAAGTCATAATGAATCTTCATAATATTGATATCCCAATTTATTCCGGACCGAGTCGTAATTGTGTACTTGTCTTGTTGTTTATTCTAAGCATGAACGTAGAGGCAAAGCTCAAATCGTAAAAGAGTGATCCTCAAAATTTAGGTTTAGTTGCAAATTCGTGACGTGTTGCAATGAAATTCTACGTTCCGAGGTCTTAAAAACTCTCCTTAGCATCACCTCGATTTGTGTGCGCAGTCCAGACGCGTAGCCGGAAAGCTTAAATGTGAAAATCTGTGAAAAATGATAAGTTTTGACTGTAAAATGAATAAATTTGACTTCGGTCAACGTTTTGGGTAAACGAACCCGAATCCGTGATTTGACGGTCCTGGAGGGTCCGTAGGAAAATCTGGGACTTGGGCGTATGCCCGGAATCAGATTCCGAGGTCCCAAGCCCGAGAAATGAATTTTTTAAAGAAAATTATTTTCTGAAATTGTTTAAAGAAATTTGAAATGAAATTTGCTTAGAACATGGCGGTATCGGACTCGTATTTTGGTTCCGGCGCCCGGTACAGGTCTTATATATGATTTAAGACATTTCTGTGGAATTTGGTGAAAAACGGATGTCATATGACGTGATTCGGACTTAAATCGCAAAATTGATGTTTAAAGAAATTTTGAGAAAATTTCATTGATCTCGAGATTTAATTTGATGTTCATAATGTTATTTTGATGATTTGATTACAGAATAAGTCCGTAGGATGTTTTTGAAGTTTTGTGTGCGCTTAGTTTGGACTTCCGAGGGCTTGAGTGAGTTTCGGGTAGGTTCCGGGGTGTCTTAGGCTTAAAAATTGAGTTGTTGCAGGCTCAGAGAGGTGGAGGACCTCTGAACAGGCCAGTGCGGTCCGCACGATATGGACTGCTGCCGCGGAGGCCGCACTAGTTTTGGTGCGGTCCGCAGTGAAGAACAATTCACTAGTCCAACTTCGGAAGCCTATATCTTTTGATCTACAAGGAATTTTGAGATGCTTAAAAAACGAAAGTTGTAGCCCTTCGTGTCTGATTTCCAGAAAAATAAAGAAATCACAATTTGGACATCTGTAAAGAAAGTTATGGCCAAAATACTAAGGTCTGTCACTGCAGAACACATGAAGCATGTGCGGCCGCAGTTGATTTTGTGCGGTCCGCACAGGGCATCTGAGGGCAGTATATTTAGACAGGATTTTCAGTTATTTTTTATTTTTTAAGACACCAAAAACATAAGAGGCGATTTTCAAACAACCTTTCTTCTCCAAATCAATTGTAAGTCATTTTTAACTAGTTTTCTTCAATCGTTAACATCTTTTAACATGATTTCAACTTCAAATCAATGACTTTCATGGGGGAAAATTGAGAGTTTTGGGTAGAACCTAGGTTTTTCAAAAATTGGGGATTTGGACCTCGATTTGAGGTCCGATTTCAAAACAAATTACATATTTGAGCTCGTGGGGGAATGGATAATCGTGTTTTGGTTCGAACCTCGGGTTTTGACCACGTGGGCCCGGGGGCGATTTTGACTTTTTGGGTAAAACTTTGGAAAACTCATTTTCATGCATTCAAATTGATTCATTTAGCGTTTATTGATGTAATTAAGTAAATTGTGGCTAGATACGTGCGAATTGGCGGAGTAATCAAGGGGTAAAGCTATAATTGAAACTTGAGTTGTGTTCGAGGCATCGAGGTAACTGTTCGGTCTAACCTTAGCTTGAGAGATTAGGAGTTGAGTGCTATTTGTTAATTGCTTTTTGTTGAGTACGATGTATAGGCATGGTGACGGGTATCTATACGTTGGAGTCGAGCATGACCGTGAGTCTTAAACTGATAGTTGTTGTGTTCTTAAATGTTACTACGGATGCTTTAATTGATGATTCTCGATATTGAGCAAAGATTTAGTTTATTCTCGTGGATTCTATTTATGATTGAGTATTGGTATTAATTGAGTTGAGTAGAAGTTGAGTTAGGATTGGTTATAGCTGATTCTCCCTTGCCGGGATGATTGTTTCGATATTGTTGCTCCCTTGCCGGGAAGTTATTATATTACTTTTGTTCCTTCGCCGGGATTCCTTGTGATTTTGTGCTGGCTTGTAAATGGGAGCGGGTGGTACGACTACCACAAGATATGATGAAATGGGAGCGGGTGGTACGCCTACCACAAGATATGATGAAATGGGAGCGGGTGGTATGCTTACCACAAGATATGATGAAATGTGAGCGGGTGGTACACCTACCACAAGATAAGATGAAATGGGAGCGGGTGGTACACCTACCACGAGGTTTAATGAAATGGGAGCGGGTGATACGCCTACCACAAGATATGAGAAATGGGATCGGGTTGCACGCCTGCAACAAGATGTAAACTGAAAGTGAAATTTGCCTTTATTTTCCTTATCCTTGTTAGAAGTTAAATTTTGGTTTCCTTATAATTTTATTGAGATTCTGCCTTATCTGTTATTCCCCGAAGCATGTTTCCCCTCCCCAGTTTTAATTATTTGTTTCCGTCTATCTTTCCGCTGTATATATATACATATCTGCACAGGTTTATCTGGAGTCTGGTCCTAGCTTCGTCATTACCTCGCCGGGGTTACGCCAGACACTTACCAGCACATGGGGTCGGTTGTGTTGATGCTACACTCTGCACTTATGTGCAGATACAGGAGCAGCGCTTGGTCAGCAGCGGTAGGGGAGCCAGCCTTCAGTCCACCGAGACACCGAGGTAGCCCTGCAGGCGTCCGCAGGCCCGACGTCTCTTTTCTTTTGTATCCGAGACAGATGTTCTGTTTTCTTTTGTATCCGAGACAGACTATATTTCCTTTTTCAGACACTTTTATGTAGCATTCCTAGACAGTCCATGAATGTTGTTACACCAGTTTCTGGGTAGAGATATATGTTGGATTTTTATTCGTATCGGTTTTGGTATAATATTTATCTAAGTCTTCCGCTTTAATTTCATCTTTCGTCATTATTTAAATGCCGATTACCTGCTAATTTAATTGGTTAAAAGGGCTAAAATGAAAAAGGTTGAATTTTTCGTATTCCGTGGCTTGCCTAGCTTCTATGAGTAGGCGTCATCACGACTTCCGAGGGTGGGAAATCTGGGTCATGACAAAATTCCTTAAAGGTTTATGTGTCAAGAGAAGTCCTAAGTCAAAGTAATGAGTTTGATGTCCTAATTGAGAACGTATTTTTATTTATCGATCCGCATTGGTAACAGATAGCTTATATTAGCTGTTTTAAACTTTAATTCCTTTGTTAATCAAAGTAGTATATATCAATAAGTCCATAAATTTTTATTATGGGTAGTTGTATTTTGATAGGATTACTAGCTTTAATTTACATTTCTTTCATTGTATCTGCTAGCAAACTGTTAAACAAATACTCAATATATCAACCATCCCTAATGTTGAAGATGTAATTAAGAATATAAAGCTATGCTCTTTCTAACAATTACTTGAACGTATGATCAGATATATCAAAACCGATTAATCAAACTTGAAACACCATTTAGTTACCATAGAATTTTAGTATATGCCTGTGTACAGTTATTAATGCTGATCTTATTACATATAGATATGAAAATATAGAAACTACCATCCAAAACACTATCACTACCTATACATATGAAAATATAGCCCCCTAAACTGAGCATTCTTGGTTTAGCTAGTAAATTTATATTACAAAAAGTCAAAATCAAAGCAGTAGCTCTAATAGAGTCTTAAGTAATTACTATATATATAGAGATGGAACTTTTATTTCCACATAACTACATTTAAAGAATATACATATGTACAAAGTCTCTAAAAAGATTAATTCAAAATACTTGGTATGTAGAGAACGTAACTACAGAAATATATGTTCCTCACTTTACATATATTGGATTTAACAATATACGTAGCTAATTAATAAATACATAAACCTATATTAGCTAGTCTTCATGTTAACTAAGATCCTTTTAGCTTAGCAAAGCTGCAGATGAATTTGCGAAGGAACCATAAAAGTTAGGCTTCTGATCTCCGATTGAGAAAGAGATTTTGGTGGCTGAGTTGTCGCCGCCGCTGCCGCCGCCGTAGGTTCTCTCGCACGACGGGCACATGCTAAGGGTGGCCGCCGATAATTGAACACGAAAGGGAGCTGCCATTTTCAGAGATTTCAGCTCTTGCAGTTCTGTATTTAGCCTTCTGTTCTCGACTTTTAAATCTTCATAACATTTTCTCAGTATTTCACAGTCTACTTCTGTTTGTTTCAGCTTAGTCCTGTTGTCAATCAAAGAAAAAGAAAACAAAATGACGTTTTTTCTATAAGATTGAAAGGAAGAAGATCATGACACGCGCAATTATTAATTACGTAATTTTTTTTATATTGGAGAAATGGGAGCTGAGTTTCAACAATTTTCTATTAGAAAACTTAGAATATATATCAAGAAAAGCTGAAAAAGCATTTGGACAAGCAGTGGCGAAGAGTCCAGTGGCGGAGTCATCTTATGCTAAGGGGTGTTAATTAACACCATTTCGCCTTATGCTGTATATATAGCTAGGTCAATTTTTTTTTTTATGTATATATACTATATATTGTTTTCCCTTTTTTCTTCCGTATTTACTTTTTAGAATTTTGACATCCCTAAATAAAATTCTGATTCCACCACTAGCGAAGACACCTTGGCACAAGAGTGTCATCTGACACCATTTTACTAGAAAAATTCACTAAATATATGCATGAATAACAATTTCTGTAAATATAATGTGTATGTACTACAATAAACAGACACATCTTGAAAAATAATAAAATGAAAAATCAATTTGAAACCGGAAATAAAGTTTTATAATCACAAAATCACAGATCCAAATTCACATACTAGCCAAATTATAATAAAGCTAGCGGGGTTGATTATGATTTTATCTACCTGGCCCTTCGATTCTGAAACCATACTTCCACTTGTCGAGGACGTAAACTTAATCGTGTTGCTAGATCTCGCTTTTGCTTCTGAAAATTTGAATTTAAAATAAAAAAGGATCAACTTCAGAATAATTCAAATATTTATGAACAAGAGAAGGAAAAAAAGAGAGGTTAAAGGTGACTTACAGAATTAAGAGTACTATGCTCTTTGAAGCTATCTTCTAAAATGGCAGATTGCTCCTTATTAAGTCTAAGTTTCTTCCTCGTACCAAATTCATGATCTTCATCTTGTTCCTGATCAACATCGTCTAACTTTGGAGAAATAATTACTTTATTTGTATCCAATTCTACTTCTTCTTCAAAACTAGCATCTCTTTCCCTTTTGACACTTGAGTTAGAAAATGAAGAAACGGTAGCACTTATTACCGACGAATTAACTGCTGAAGATGATAAGCAAAGAGTTAAAGAAGGGAGAGGATTAATATCTAATTCTTGATCTTCGTTTGATTTTCTCTTGTTGTTATGTTGATGAATAGTACTATCATTAGGAGTAGTAGATTCTCCTGATGATCCTAATAAGCTTAGACTCAGCCTTGTATTGCAGATCATTTTCTGGGATTTGAGTGAAATGAGTTACTAATATTTTACACGCTGGTATTGTTAATATATAAGCAAGGTTTCGAGGTTTATGGGTCTAGTTGTAATGAGAAAAAGAATCGGATTTCTTTTGGAAAGGAGTGTTTGGAAAAAGATGATTAATAAATAATAAATTTCTAATTAAAGAGCAAGAAATGAGCAAGGGACCAATTTAGAATGAGCATATTATCTTTTTTCTTTTTTCTTTTTGTTTAAGTAAAATATATATAAACCGTGTTGTCTCTTTATAATCTTTCTCTCTTCTTAGGTTGACCAAGATAAACACTATTCATACCCCCCCCCCCCCCC